TGGGACCCGGCAAAAATTGTATAGATATCTATGAATAGAAATCTATGAGTATCAAAAAAAAAAAAAGAGTTCAGCCCCTTCGAAAAATATTAGTAAAATCGCATAGATTTCATTGATTAAAAATTTGTCAATATATTAACAAAACTTTCTTATTTAGTAATGAGGTAAATATACTGCGAAACTATGAAAACATGCCAAAACTGGTGGTAGCCAAAATATCTATATAGACTAATGTCTCAATGTTTAAATTAAAAAAAGGTAGTCTAATAATTATTTTGGTATAATTGTAAAGCTAAATTGTTTATCGAACTCTAAACGATTGAATGTCTAAACTTTGATTGTATAATTTTTATTGTAAACTTAACATGATATTATAGCTCATTTCTCAAACTATTTTTAAACAATCAAGATACTATAAATTCTAAAAATATTTATATCATTTCAACACTAGTGTAATATATATTTTAAATAGTATTAGTCACTGGTGCTTTGAAACTCTTAACAATGATAACTTAAAAGATTCAAAGGATTATAAAAATGGATACAATTGCTAACTTTATTCCCATCGTTTTAAAAGCTTTAAGTTAGACGATTCTGCGCCTAATTAAATACTAACAAGCCTCTGACATTTAATTAGGCATAAAAACACGTGTCAAAATGATTAAAAATATTTTAGGCAATGGCGTATCCAGAATTTTATTTTGGAGAGGGTTAAAACAAATATAACAAATTAAGTTGTTTTTAATTTTGAGTGATTTTTAATTTTATTTTTATACAATTTATAAAAATATTATATTATATTATATTATATTACTTTATAACTTTTTTGAATGCTATATCTGATTAATTTTTATATTTATATTATTAATTTAATGGTTAAAAACAACTTTTATAGAGATTGCACAACCCCCCCCCCTCGGATTCGCAAATGATCTTAGAAATCATAAATGACTCTTTAAAAAATTGTATCGACTCATTCAGCCGCCGTTAAAATTATTTTATAAGGCTTAAAAAAATGATTTATTTAAATTGAATTTATAATAAATTTTATGTTTTATGCTTAAATGATGTAAGTACTATTATTACTTATGAGGTGTTGAGTGAAATACCGTTAATTGACCGAGATCGAGGTCATTGTGTTTAATATACAATTTTAATAAAAATTGTTTATTTAAAATACGAATGAAGACATTACCTATTAGAATAATTAAAAACGCTGGACGAACCTTAACACAATAATTATTTATTAACAAGCATGTGGGAGTATAAATTTATCGAGGCTTTTCTCGATTATTTTAACGATTACTACATAACCACCCACGACCGACAAAAGCCAACCGTTTGGCAAATGTCTGTTCATATTGTTTTCACTATTATTAATACTTTTGAGTTGTACCGGTCCACGCAAAATCCGCTCGGGTGTAGACAAATTTAACGACGTCAAAAATAAATCCCTCAGACTTGTATCGACTGATTTTTTTTTAAATAATAATTATATTGACTACCGCCAAGTCTATTGAAATCTTTCACCAGGACAAATCTTTTCTACAGATTTAATTATGCCAACCCAATATGTTATTCATTGCACTGGTCGAATCACGTCACACTAGAAATATCTTTATATTATTCTGTTTGATTCAAATAATACTACAGAAAATCTACTCTCTCGGTAATTTTGGACAGTATGAAGAATTATAATGACAAAAAGCCTTATTTTACTAAATAAAGGCTTTAATATTTTTTTGTTATAATCTCATGCTCACTTATTTATTTTCTATAAATTTCGCTTTAAAATTATTCTGATGAATTTTCATTATTAAAAAAATAATAACACTTTTCAAGAAGCGTAATAGGAGTTTTGTTTTGGGAGTATAATAAAGGAAAATGTTGTATTTCAATCTCCAAACGAAAAAAAATTGTATCTTCGCCATATTTCCCTAATCACTTTTGTGATAAGAGCAATATGACTCTCGTATCCACATCATAATTACGCCAGTGAACTTTTCGTTTTTTACCGAATTTAAACAAAAATCATTTACTTTTCAGTATTTAAATCTGCGAAGGAACGGACAAAAAATAAGGAAAACATATTCTTATTCTCCATTCATGTAAGCACACCTTGAATTTAAATTTATTAAAATCAATTGCCGAGTATTGTTTTGGTCGACATAATTATCCAATACCTGTGTTTATGTTATTGTGAATGAATTAACTGTTTAACAATTAAAATATATCCGCTTTTGTTAAATACATAAATATTATGCGAAACTGACAATAATAATGATAGGTTTTTATTTAACAATCCTTTTTTTCGTGTTAAAATCAACTTAGTACTAGAAAAATATCGTTTTTCTACGGTGTTTTATTAAATTTTCGTCAACAATGGATTGATGAAGATAAACACGGAGAGGAGTGCTGATCAGTCATCGCAGCAAAGAGTTTTCTAAAACAAGTCACCTTGAAGTTAATAATTACAAGGTCGAGTGGTTATCCTATTTTAAATCATGTACTTTTTTTTTTATAACAATAATAATTATTTTGTTGATGTATACAAATGGGGGTTTTCACGGTTTTTAGTATCTTCTCTGCCGATGATTTATGAGCTAGAGCTTATCAGTGTTTTAAACTGTGCCTTCCACAACGATAATGTAAAACCGGTAAGTAGTCAACATCTTTATTTAAAGTCTAGCTGTAGGAAATTTTCTCTAAAACTGCCCGCATACCAGTCGACCGTAAGTTATTAATGTTTATGGCAATAATATTAACTCACATACAGCGGACAACCGCATAGTGGCTCGTGTCTCATAATTTTTAATAATCCACTCATGCCCAACTTACTCATGGTCTTAACACTTTTTATTATCATAAGACAATGGAGTTGTATGTAAAAACTCTAAGATTTTAGAGGATTTAAAAGTTTTTAAAGGAGAGTCCGCCGGACTCTCCTTTATCCGTTGCAAATGCTGAACAATTAACAATCGACACAGTTATTGAATTTTAAATGAGTTTATTTTTATTGCGTTTTCTGGTCAATAGTTTGTTTTGGAAATAATTTACTATTTAAGTAGACAAACGACACGAATTACGTCATTACTGCGATCGTTTTAGATTTGCAACACAGTTTGCAGGTTTCATTCATTTATTTTTTTTTGTGAACACAATCATATAATTTGCACATATTCACGGGATATAACAACTGCATTAGGTATTTTCACCTTTCCCTTGTCCTCAAAAACGAAACGATTGACGTAAAATAACGCGACGAACCGGTTGCAATGAAAGCTGCAAACTGTTATTGTTGAAATGCTACAAAAATAAATAAAATAAAAAAAAAAATGCATTATAATTTTACTGCAACCGCAGCGGTTGGAAACGATAAACTTTTATGAGGGCTAACATAATTTGAATTATTGATAGCCGATAGATACTAAACAAAAAATCGAGGTAGTTAATCACAACGTACACACTATATTTTGTTTTTTCGGAACGCTGGAAAGAGATATACAATATTAAACTGGGTTGGTGGTATGTTAAAAAAATGTCGTTTTCAACATTTTTATTATTAATCATAAACGTGACTTTTAATCATTAAAAACAATGGATTTAAATAGTATGTAAAAATGATTGTTTAAAGTAACTCAATTAAGTATATTTTACCGAAATGTGATTCTAATTAAATAATTTTCTTGTATTGCAAATATGGGAATTAATCATTGAACATTGTATTTGTATTCACAAATAATTTTAGATTTTATTAAAAAATTAAAATTTGGTTGAATTTTAGTTGCACAAAATAATTTACAAAAATAGCATTTTTCAAAAACGTTTTCTTTAACAAAGCAAATAATAAATGTATAACATTACAAATTCAGAATTACATTAAAAAATATAATATAATAAAAATATAAACAATTATAGGTACGTATAATAAAAATTGATCACTTGTGGCTAATTAATTAAGTAAAATTAAAAATATATTAAAAATATTATTAATTTAAAAAACTAAAAAATATTAAAAATATTAAACTCAAAGCCACAAACAATTTTTGTGGCTTTATAAATATTTTTAATATTTTTTAGTTTTTTAAATTAATAATAAATTTAATATAGTTTTAATTTTACTTAAATTATAGGTACGATTAAATGGACCACTGGGAGTTTCTATTACTATTTTAGTAATCTAAATCTACAGCATTAGTAAAATATGTTACAAATATTGTTAAAAAACATAAAATATTTATTCACAATAATTAAGTGATGATATCTAGAAAATATTTCACTGCCCCGAGTTGGCCCATTTGATGGTACCGATTAAAGAAAAAGTAGATTTTATCATGTAGGGTCAGGTTTTCTACATAAATTATTAGACCCCTAACTATTATTTCACAACATTGATTGTTTTTACGAGTAAATAGCACATTATATTAACGGATTATTTAATTCAAAATCAAGCTGATTGATAAATAGAGATCCTGTCGCAAATTCTGATTGCCGAGTCGTCCTTTCGAATATTAAAAAAACATGATATTAGATACTTTAAAGGTCACTGAAGCCCTAGTGAAGTGAAGAAAACATTTTTGTCGAAATTATCCTCAAAAAGGATCAGATAACGTTTGGAACGTGTTTTGCAAATAAAGAAACACTTATTTTTTTTAAACATAATTAGTACGTTTTTATTTATTTTAAAACGTTTAAAATATATGAAAAAAACATGTTTTTTATCAACCCTCCTATATGCACGATTGATGTGTCGACGTTTTCGAAAAATTCGCATTAAAATTTTACAAATTTATAACCGTTAGAATTAATAATAAAATAAGTGCCTATGTATGAGAGTCTAAAAATACAAGTAATACGTTACAATTTGTTCGATTATCAAATAAATTATTGTTAACGACTATCGGGCAGCTGTGGCAGGCGGTTGTCGTCCGTCAGATGGCACTGACCAATGAGCGGCGGGCGGCGGGCGGCTGCGTGCCGTCGGCAGCGGTGGCGCGCGACCTCTCACAGTGTGCTACTCGTAATCGGGGCGTATGAGTGCTCCGGTGCTCGGCCGACTTACCCCACGTGCGCGCCCGTCGTCTTGTGCTTCAGTCGATTTCAAGCCCGTCGACGAGTGTTTTGCAAAAACGTTGTGAATTTCGTGAGTTTGGTCGTTAGAAAAATTGCCCTATTATTGTGACGACGATACATGTTACACGTAACGCAGTCACGATGGACACCACCTAACGACATTATTTCTATGAAATATTTCCATCAAATAGTAACGAGAAATTTTTTTTTTTCCACTTTTATTATTATTGTATTTTTTTTTTACGGTTTTTGTTTTATGTCAGTTTTTTCTTCCGGCCGTACAATATTACATTACCGCTCGTTGACATACCAAGTATTATGACGGATTTGTATAATCCGCGGTACCGTTGGTGACATGTCGGATGGTGTTTGCGTGTGTTGGACAGTGTTGGTGGCGCTGGCCGTGTGGTGTTTGGCTGTAGGCGCGACGGAGTTGACTACCCGGATGGCACCCTGCGCCCATCTGGGCGACGAGACCAACGACGTTTCGGCTCGAACGTACGCGTCTGATGTGGTATTCGAGGGCAAGGTGCGATCGAGGAGTCCCATACGGCCCGGAGCCGGCACGTACGGCGTCACGTTTGTAGTGCAACGGGTGCACAAGGACGCTATGCAAGCGGTCACCTACGAGGGTCTTCGAGTTGGGAGTCCAGTGCGGCTCTACTTTCGGGAAAAACGAGACTACGGCAGCAGTGATCCACGGAGACGGCGTCCCACCGGCACTACGGCCGGCATTGCCGGGTCGTCGCAATGCGTCCAGCGATTCGCGCCCGCCGCCGGCGGACAAACTGTCGAGGCCAACATCAAACGGGGTGCAAAGTACCTGGTGTTCGTGGCCGGCGTAGGACCGCACAATTTGTCCGTACTCGGCGAACCCGTGCTCCGCACGCCTAAGAATATTCAGGCCGTCCGGCAGGTGTTGTGCAGAAATTGCAGTAAGTAAACCTTCATTCATAATTTAAGAATTCACTATAAGCGCGACCCTCTTTCGCCCTTCCCTCGCCCGCGGTCCCGTTGGCCGGCACTCGCGGTGGCGGAACAGGGCGGCACTGAAAACGTCCCAATGGAACTCTGCCAACGTCTATTTTCGGATGGTCTCACGATATGAGTCAGTAGGTGTTCTTATGGCATCGTATGAATTTATGCCCTCGACGAAAGTTTTCATCTAGAAATCTAGTAGGTCTTTTGAAAATGCTTCAAAGGTTAGAAGCCGTATGCAATCGTGTCGAAACTTTCGAAAGTCTGTACAAACAAAATAAACATTTTTTATACATTAGATGAATTCGTTCGGCAGTGAAATTTTTATTATTCAAAGAAAACCGTTAAAAACTGCAGCGCCGTATTCGTCTAGAAATTATATCTGAATGCGATCGAACGCTCCGGTTCACGGTTATCAGCGTCTTTGGGTTTTTTAAAAACACCATTATGGCCATAATTTTTTTTTTTTTTCTACCTAATAGCCAGTCACGGTTGAGTTTAGCTTAAATGTATTTTTTTCGGTCCGTTTTAAACTCAGTCCGGCGGATAAATTGTCAGCGTGATGCAATCCGTGTGGTCGTCGTGATCACGTGAAAGTCAATTACTGCGTTCGTTTCTCAGATTGTTGTGAACACACATGCGATTATTGTCTACTATATCAGCCACTAGACGTGTATGAGTTTCTCTAACGCAGTGTGTTTGGTCCGACAAAAAAAAGCTCAATGGAAAAACGGACGAATTGGCGTTTAAAATAAATCATTAGGACTTTTACAACGGCCGTCGTCCGCAATAATCTGTCTGGCGCCGCCGTCAAAATCGGATATAGCAGTTGCAACCGGCCGGTCTAAAAATAAAATATGTAATCCGAATACTAAGCTCGGCTTATTGTCCACAACGAAAACTGTTATTTTTTTTACTTCGGTTGCAAGACGCGAGTTTTTTATTTTTCGAAATCCAACACACAAAGTGCCTCGGACCGTCTATCGCTGGCGGTTACAGGTATCGCGCACACCGACTCATCGTGTGGGGTCGCGGCTGTCGGTATTGGGCAGGAGACGCGGCTCGTGAGTATTTTACTTTAAAATTACAACGCAAAAACAACACAATTACCAAACTAATCAGAATTCAAAGCACGGGCCGTTTTTTACAATTGACTTTCCCCCGCGTATTACGGACGGCCTGTTTTTTTTCCTTTGGCCCGCCACCGTCGATATCCACAAAACCGTTTGTCCAATTCGTTTCTCCTCCCCCCGGATCTCTTTCCCCGGATCGTCCATTGGTCCGTTAGAGTTCGGCTCGCAGTAATGAGTGGCCGGACCAATTACACGTACACTTTCGTCCGTTTGTGTCCTCTCACCCGATTAATCGAACCGATGCGGTCCGTGTCGAATCATTTAGAGAGAACGGACCGAGTAATAAAGGCGCACCGTCGGAGGAACTAAGCATTAAGGCGGTACACGTTTTAAGAATATTACAGTTTCGAAAAAGGCACTTTTGACGGCTTAATAGTCGGAAACCGTTAAACGGCCGGCAGCGTACTACCGACAAACTCTCTAATTTTAACCTAATTTTTCGAGGGATGGCGACAAGTCGGATATAATAAATCAAATAGTTCAACCGCTCTCGTTACTGAAATCGAGTGCAGTTACCATTTGTATGCAACGGTTTTTATTTTCCTGGCAAAACAGTAGCATCGTATAGGCGGTCGCTCTGTTTTTGGACACACTCGTTCTTTGGCATGAACGTGATTTGGGTTAAGGTTGATAAGGTCCAATGAGTTGCAAATGATCAAAACAGTTGTAGAGACTTAATCGAGTATCGGCGGAGGGCAGGGCAGTGGTGGGTACTCGAAATGAATATTACACACACACACGTCGCAGCTGTAATACATCATAAATCGTTTTTTACTTCCTCCCCGCACGATCGTAAAACTTTGTGAATTAAAATCCCATTCACCCTAGTCATTATTGAGTGCGTTTATTTGTCGATTCGCTCGATCACAACTGAGTTTTTATGCCGCGTAGTTCTATAATCTGTTTACATTTGTAGTAATTTTCAAAATCGAATCGTCGAGAAGTTTATTTTTACAAACAATAACAACGCAATAAATTCAACTAATACATTTGTACAGCGTTAAAAATAGTAACTCGAGTAACTGTTAAATAAAACTGCGTCTAATTGACGAATTGCAACTAATTGATGAATAAGTTTCGAGACCGCAGCGCCTGTGATTCAGTTGGGTTCTTTAAGTGTGTGATTTAATACTTTTATAATGGGCTGAAAGTATGTAAAGGACTTGGGGACTGAACGGTCAATGGGAAAATTCGTATATTATATAATTACATGGTTAACTCTTGACGGCTGCATTAGGTTATTATGCGGTACAGCGTATGTATTTTCATAGGTATTTTATTTTTACATCAATATATACATGTTCGGTACCTGCAACTGCTTTTATTGTTATTAAACGCTCGGTCGTTTCCGTCTTTTTATAACTCGATGTGTGTGTGTGCATCTACCGCGGTTCCCACCGAAAAGTCATCGTTGAGACAAAAAAACAAACATCACTCATCTTCTTAAACATTGTAATAAAAGCAAAGACGAGTTGAAAAATGAAGTTTTATTGGTCGCCGGTCATCGTCACTCGACAGACAAAAAATGCGCGTTCGAATCATTTCCCCTTGTCGTGTCACACCGCGTCGGAATCGTTGAATCTAAAACATATGTTTTGTCAGAGATAAATTCGCATCGGTCGATAAATTTGTGAAAACGTTGGTTTTTCGGTGCTCTTAGTGGCCGTGTCCGAGATAAAAAAAATAACAAAGTTACACACGAAACTGACTGCCGTTTAAACAATATGATGTTATTTAACGAGGAGGACTCCGCGCGTGATTCACTCGGACCCAAATGCACATAACAACCGGACACTCGGTGTGACGTCACGTTATTGTTCGCATTGAAATCTGTTTGGCTTGTAAACGTAAAAAAACGTGCGCACATCTAACACGATTAAATAATAACGTAACGTTGGACTGGTAAAGAAACTGTGCCAATGCCCACGCACAGCACATAAGTCGGGTGGAGTCGTATTGTAATTAGAGTAACAGGCAATTGGGTTAAACGGTCGCGTGTCCCGTCAACTTTGAGATGGCCTCCTAATTGCGGCCCGCTAAAAAAAAGGGATCAGCAGGCGATTGTCTCATTTGACTACACCTCGTCGTTACTTACGGCTGAGTAGTGCGCATCTGCATGCCGTTTTTTAACGCGTACGAACGCGCAGTACAAGTTCAAGCTATTAAAACGCGGTTTAATAGGTTAGGTACATACACAGAAGACTGTAGGTCAGTGTATGTTCTAATAGCGATAATCGCGTTACAATGATATTATATAGCATCTATCCAAACACGTTATTTTCCATGTGTAGCGGTTCGGATTAATAAAACAATCGTAGGTAAACATAAAAAATGAGTAAACCGTCGAAAATGTGATTTAACGTCTACGCGTCGTTTAAACGATTCGTCGTACAGTGTTAATATTCAAACCGTTTGGATATGTTTTTGTTCGAGCAATTACAATTTGTAATGAATTACCGGTGTCTCTTAAATATACGTAGTAATAAATTATCGTTACACTTTCGTTTCACGTCGGAATCGTATAATGTTACCGAGGTATGAAGAATGACTATGATTTTTTTTTATTTTGTCATACGAGTCCCCGTTTCCGGAGTTGTATCTTTTGCTGTTTCTCTCACATACATAAAATGACAATGTCTCGAAATATTTTATTGTTTTTTTTTTTCTTTCCGTCATCTGTACGCCAAAAGCATAATAATTGTCTCTCGTGATTATTAGACGGACGAGGAAAAACGGTTTACCGCGTTAAATTTTATACGCAAACGAACACTCGGCGACCCTCAAAAGTTGTTGTCTTATTGGTTTTAGACGAGGAAAACGATCGCCGACGCGATTGTTATCGTGAGTGTGAGACCGAGGACAAGTGCAGCGATAAAAAACTTAACTCCGCAGCAGCTGCACGGCCGAATAGACTGACTGAATATCAATAAAAACGATTTTCGAGCGGCGTGTGAACCCGTTCGCGCAGCCCATGCGACTTAATGGAATCGACGACAATAATGATTTATAATCTATTTAAAAGGGAAAAAACAATAAAGTTACAGTCGACTTGGTGTCATCGCACGTCCTGGAAACCGAATACCTTTGTTCTTCATTTATCTCTCTCTCTCTCTCTAGACACGTGGTCGCCCAACACGACGACTTACGGCGGTGCAAAAGCGATTATCACACAACTAGTAGCTTTATGTGTACTACATAGGCGACCGCAAACTGTCGCACGCTGATATTTCCCACGGTCCTTTGTGCATTGATATGTCGTCAAAGTCACGCGATCCGACCATGATTGTGTTACCGTTGGACTTAATAACGTGGTAATTATTACACTCGGATATTTCTATGTTTAAGGGATCGTCCAACACGTAACTCACTGGTCATGGGCGTGTTTGTATTGTTGACATTTAAATTACTGAATCGACCGAACTTATCCCAATAAATGGCGTGCGCGCCGTCAATATGACGGGGACTAGGTACGGGCTATAAAAAATTGTAGAAGAAAATTTTAATGGCAATTATTGAAGTGGATTTCGGACGGCAATGTTCAGCCGCTTGTAAAAAGAACTTTGACTGAACTATGCCGCCGGCGGGGGATTGTCTTTCGGCGGCAGTCTCGCGTGTTGAACTGGAACCGAGGGGGGAACCATATGGTAAACATAGACATTCAATCCTTTTGGCCTCGTGGGCGGCTCGACGAGTAGACACAAAGACACATACGCAACGATGTTGCGACCGGGCAGGGAAATGAAGAAATCAAATTCGGCACGAACTGACCACACACGATTAAAGGTAGTCCGCAATCACGGTGTTTATTATTACTTCTATTTAGG